GACCTGATGGCTTCACTGCTGAATTCTACCAAACATTTAAAGAAGAACTAATACCAATTCTCTTCAAATAATTTCAAAAAATTGAGGAGGAGGGAATACTTCCCAGCTCATTTTATGAGGCATCATTACTGTGATTCCAAAATTGAACAAGGACACAACAATCAAAAAAATTACAGGCTAATATCCCCAATGAGCATAAACACAAAAATACTCAACAAGATACTAGAAAACAGAATCCAACAGCACATTAAAAAGATCATTCACCATGAGCAAGTGGGATTTATCCCAGGGATGCAGAGATGGTTTAACATAAGCAAATCAATAACTGCATTAATAGAAAGACAAAAGCCATGTGATAATTTCAATTGACACAGAAAAAGCATTTGACAAAATTCAACATTCGTTCTTGATAAAAACGCTTAACAAACTTGGTATTGAAGGTATGTACCTCAATACAATAAGGGCTATACACGACAAACCCACAGCTAACATCATACTGAATGGGGAAAAGCTGAAAACTTTCCCTCTTAGATGTCAAATTATACTACAAAACTATAGTAACCAAAACTGTAGGGGACTGGCACAAAAACAGACACATAGACCAATGGAACAGAATAGAAAGGCCAGAAATAAATTCACACACATACAGGTAACTGATCTTTGGCAAAGGTGCCAGGAATACATATTGAAAAAAAGACAATCTGTTCAGTAAATGGTGCTGGGAAAACTATATCCACATGCAGAAGAATGAGACTAGACCCCTACCTCTCACAATATACAAAAATCAACTCAAAATGGATTAAAGACTTAAATTTAAAACCCAAAACTATGAAACTACTAAAAGAAAACATAGGGGAAACAATCCATAACATGGGGCTGGGCAAGGATTTTTAAAATAAGTCTTCAAAAACACAGACAATAATAGACAAGTGGGATTACATTAAACTAAAAAGCACATCAAAGGAAATTGTTAACAGAGTGAAGAGACAGCCTACAGAATGGTAAAAAAAATATTTGCAAACTATACATCTGACTAGGGGTTAATATGAAGAATATATAAGGAACTTAAAAAGCTCAACAGCAAAAAACCCAAATAACCCAATTGAGAAATGGGCAAAGGATCTTAATAGACATTTCTCAGAAGACAAATGGCCGGTAGGCATATGAAAAAAATGCTCAACATTACTAATCATCAGGGAAATGCAAATCAAAACCACGAGGAGATACCACCTCACTCCAGTTAGAATGGCTGTTATCAAAAAGATAAAATAAGTGTTGGTGAGAATATGTAGAAGAGGGAACACTTGCACACTATTGGTGGGAGTGTAAACTAATACAGCCATTATGGAAAACAGTATGGAGGTTCCTCAAAAACTTAAAAATAGAACTACTATGTGATCCAGCAATCCCATTACTGGATATATACCAAAAGGAAATGAAGTCAGTAGGTTGAAGAGAGATCTGCACTCCCATGTTTACTGTGGCACAATTTACAATAGTCAAGATATGGAATCAACCTAAGTGTTCACAATAGATGAATGGGTAAAAAAAAGTATATGCACACAATGGAATACTATTCAGCCATGATAAAGAATGAAATCCTGTTATTTGTAACAATATAGATGGACTTGGACATCAATAAGTCAAGTAAGCCAGGCACAGAAAGACAAATTCCATATGATCCCACACATACGTGAAATTAAAAAAAACATGTGAAATTTAAAAAAAAAAAGTTGATATAGAGATGGAATAGAACAGTGGTTACCAGGGACTGGGGAGACAGAGGGGAAGGGAAAACAGGGAGAGGTTGGCCAGTAGGTACAAAATTACAATTCAATATGAGGAATAAATTTTGAGGTTTATTGCATAGTATGGTGACTATGGTTAACAGTTTTGTATATTACATAATAGCTAGAGGAGAGGCTTTTGAGTGTTTTTGCCACAAAGAAATGATAAATGGGTGAGGTGATGGTTACATTAACTACCCTGACCCAGTCATTATACAGCATACATATCAAACATCAGAGTGTACCCCATAAGCATGTAAAATTACAACGTGTCAATTGAAATAAATGGGAAAAGAATTTACCGTAGGAATTATCTCTGTTTTAGGTTAGTTATTAGGTCTAAAATTCTGAAACTATCCTCATAAATCTTCTACAGGGAAAAAATGTTCAAGGTGAATAGGCCACACGTACTTTTTGCTTTTGGAGGCATTATGTCATCTGATCTTTACGACAAACATACAGTGCAATTATTTTCCACATTTTACAGATGATTGAACAGAGTTTGATTCACATAAATCTTCTACAGGGAAAAAATGTTCAAGGTGAATAGGCCACACGTACTTTTTGCTTTTAGAGGCATTATGTCATCTGATCTTTACGACAAACATACAGTGCAATTATTTTCCACATTTTACAGATGATCGAACAGAGTTTGATTCGTACGAGTTTAAAAAGCACATAAAATTTACCATCCTAACCATTTTAAGTATACAGTTTAGTAGAGATAACTCTATTCACATTGTTCTTCATTTGTGTAATTTTGAAAGATTATGGCAGCAGTTCAAAAATAATTTGGTAAATTTGAAAATTCAAGTGTTAGAAACATATTAGAAGCTTTTGTATTATCTCTAATGGCAATGTTACTAAAAGGGTTATAGTTCATGGATATGGTAATTAGCTGAAAATTAGTTTTCTTTCTACCTACACTCTTCTCATTAAGCATACTTTGCCTTTTTGCTTGTATTTATGACATAGACTTACTTTTAGTCTTACATTGAGGGCATTGGTGTGATTCATAGCATTACTTCCCAAAGATGTGAGAAGAAAATTAACAGTGGGATTCCAGACCTCTGCAATCAACCTGATCTTGAAACACCATACAGGCACAGTTTAGACAGAGCTACTGTATGTAATTTAGTAACAGCCTAAGAAAATGGACACAGTTCTTTCCAGGGCAGCAGACATAAGCAGCAATAAATACGCAAGCGCTACAGCAAAGGATCACGTCATTCTGGCTTTGTGCCGTTTATAACGAAAACCTGGAAAGAGCAGAAATCCCTTTGAACTTATATTTGCAAAACTTTGTGTCTATTATTTTATCTTCTGAATTTCCTTTATTTTCTGTTTATTTCCTCATACCACCACTCTGTTGGGTGCAGAATTTGCTTAGATTTGTTTGAGTGGCCCTGATTTACAGGTGGTAACTTGCTTACCCGGAGAAAGGTATTGGGGAGTGAATTGGATGCAGTTTAGCTGTGGCTCAATAGAGGGAGTAGAGGAGCTGAGACAGAGGAGCCAGCGAGAGAACGTGTCTGATTAAGTAAGTGTTGTGTGCGCGCACCGGGAGGAGGGGAGGGGTGGGGTAGGGTGGGGGGTGCCTCTAGCTGCTCCACCCTCACTTTGTCAGCAGGTAGAGAGCGTGATTGCAATCCCAGGGGAGGGAGTCAGAGCTAGAACACCAATTACAAACCGCAGGCTTCCTGCTCTAGGGAGCTGATCCAGAATTGTCTTTCTGGAAAGGAAGCACTCGAATCCTTCCGAACTTTCCAAGTCCATCCATGATTCAGAGATACTGCCTTCTCCCTCTGGGATTTTCTGTGTTTCTGGTAGTGAATTGTTGCTGATGTGCTTGCAACCTTGCTTCTTTTCTCTTTCAAGATTTGATCATTTTATATGCTGTTCGGAGAGAAAAAGAACTTTTGTTAGGAGATTTCGGGAATGATTTTGGATCTTCTATAAGTGTTTTTAGAGTTCTTGGAGACAGTAGCTCTCATCCTGGAGTAAGTTTCTGCCTTTGATCTGCATGGATTATTTTTTCAGGCTGCGGAATTTGTTGGCACCTACCTGTAGTGTGGGGCACTTGGTTTGGTTTGCAGAGTAAGAAGGTGGAAGAATGAGCTGTACTTGGTTAAGCAGTGGAAACCTTTTTTGAGCAGAATCTATAAAAGCATAATTGAATTTGTTTCATCCCCGTGGATTGCAGTGGGCCCAACAGCGCAACAGGTTTGCAGATTTCTTTTGAAATTATTTTTTTTTCTCCCGCCTCTGCCTCAGCAAAAGAAAAGAATCTATTTAACAAGTTCTTATTCAATTGCTTGTCTTTTCAGCACTTATTCTGAATACTTTATAAGATTTTTAAACTTGACCTCAGAACGCAGCGGGCTTTGTGGGTGAACTGCGTTTATATTTACTTAAGGGTGCACATTTTAGAATCCTTTTCTGTGTTTATACAAAGACCCAAATTCTCGGGCCTCAAACTTTGACTACACTGAAATAACAGTTTAATGTGGAAACTTTTGAATACTTGTTGTAGCATCTTTGGACATCCCTCAAAGTGTGACCTGAAATTTTGTTTTATTATTGTTACCTCTCTTCCCCCATTAAAAGATAAAATCTTCTTGTAGTCTTTAGTCATTTACTATTGACACATTTTGTGGCTTAAAAAGGGCCATCTCTTCATTTTCTGAGCTGGAGTTTTTCTCTCTCACCTTTCATGCATGACCTTAGCTTTTTACTTTGCCTTGTTTGGTTAATGAACATTGGATTTAGTGCCTCAGCAACTTGATACATATGGAAGTCAACACCAAGTGATCTGATAGAATAAAAATTCATGATGTGACACTTAATCTCAAGCAAAGGTGGAAATTCCAAAGAGAAGTGGTGATATCTTTACTAGTCATAGTGAAGATGGGAGAAAATGACATACCAGCAGCAGAAGTGGGCTAAAAACACCCTCCTGTCTGCCCAATCAGGAATGCTACCTGTTTGGGGAATATACTTTAGAGACAGGAAGGGCCAAAACTACGACTTGGCATTCTGAAACTGAAGCATAAATTCTCTTCTCCTCCGTTTGTCTGGATCTGAGAACCCGCATTTGGAATTAGCTAGTGGAAGCAGTATGTATGGCCAAAGTGCATTGCTGCAGCTGGTAGCATGAGTGGTGGCCACCAGCTGCAGCTGGCTGCCCTCTGGCCCTGGCTGCTGATGGCTACCCTGCAGGCAGGCTTTGGACACACAGGACTGGTGCTGGCAGCAGCGGTGGAGTCTGAAAGATCAGCAGAGCAGAAAGCTATTATCAGAGTGATCCCTTTGAAAATGGACCCCACAGGAAAACTGAATCTCACTCTGGAAGGTGTGTTTGCTGGTGTTGCTGAAATAACTCCAGCAGAAGGAAAACTAATGCAGGCAAGTATAACTTTATTATATTTCACTTTCCATCTGTTTGAAATATGCCTTTTTCCTATGGTCTCCTGAACAAAATACCATACAAGAAAACTTAACGCTGCTTAGCTTTCTATTTGTTCCATTCTAAAGCACATTCTTATGTTGTACTCAAGAAGAAATATATAAATCCTATATTTTAGAAGATTGTCTGTCTGCTTATTTTTAACTAGTATTGTATAGCCTTTTTAGATACACATAAAAAAACCTTTCAGAATATTTAAGTGATATATTCTGTGCACTATTTTTAGATAGATGAAATTTATGGGCTTGTATTTAATTGACCTGAGGACTGTACTTTACATCCTATTTAAATTTGAAGTGAGCACTGAGGGGGTTGATTTTAATGGTCAGCAACACCCTGAAATTCTAGAATGCCTTTGGAGCATATTTGATTACTGTGTCACTTTTAAATTTTAGTCAAGCTTGAGTGCTACTACTGGCCTTATACCACGTGTGACACCCTATTGCTAAGCCCAAAATGGAGAGGACTGGATTACAAAATGGATACAAGGTGCAAACCTGCCTCCTGATCACTTTGGTCTTGTCCACACATAATCTTATCATTTTCAAAAATTTAAATTTTACGTATGTGTGTTATTGACCCACAAAGTTTTTCAGACACATTTTTTCAGGCTTTCAGGCTGTGAATTTTGTCTAACTCATTCATAGCCTATTCTTTATATGTTGAATTTACTAACTGGCTGGGGCCATAGCATTTCATAGACCAATTGCTCATCCTCATGGCGAAGACTGAGCCTAAAGGGCTGTACCTTTTTAATGGGCATTCGACAGTCTTACTCCATAAAATGATGTTGTTTATTGATGAAAATTTATTTTATAAACGTACACTTCTTGCTCTAGCTTTTCGATACAGGTTAGAATGTTCTTAAATATGATCTAAACATCCAAACTCAGATTTTTATTTTGTAATATGAGCAGACTGTGAACAGAACCAAAGTATTGTATGCATTTAAATTTTTGTCTACTTAGAGAAAGAAGGTAGGAAAATGAAACAAATTATAGAACTCTTTTCAAAACACGGGTTTTTAAAATATATGGTTTAGTGGTTCTTCATTATCACTTCTTAGGCAATAATTAGAAAGCTGGGATAAGTGAAGTAAAAGAATTGGGTGAAATGGAAGGCTGTGCTAGTTAGAAACAAACAGGAAGAGTGTTTCTGAAAAAATGGTATAGATTTTTTGGATGAGTCTATCATTTAATTTGGATGCAAGATGGAATTAGGAATAAAAGTTGAAATCATAAATTATTTTGAATACAGCAATTGGAAAGGAAACTTCCTTCCTGATCTTGCCTAGTTAATACCATGAAGCATGAGTTATGTGCTCCATTTTAATTTTTACCGTAAATAATTTCACTATAGAGCCATATTTTGATATCTTGGAGGTCTTTGAGAGCCACAATAAATTTTATGCCTTATTAATGTCCTGTGATAGCATGTTCAATGGGTTAATTATACATTGCATAAAATGGTTTCCTCTTTTATTTTGAATCTGTTGACTTCTATTATCATAAAGCTCTATGTAAAGTTTCTGTGTTTTCACAAAGGAAAAGGTAAACAAGAGGTACCAGTAGGCATTCTCTTTTCCATTCATTATTTTATTAATCTTTATCATATCATCTCATTCTGCCCTTTTTCTCACTCTGGCAAACCTCGCTGTCTTGTTGTTTGTTTTTGTTTTTTTAACTATTAACTGTGAACCTATCAGTTTTTGTTTCTGTACTTTGTGAAGAGGGAGTCTCACTGAATCTTGGCAAGCACTTTCAGACTTTACAGTGGGTATAGTTTTATGTCATTGGCAGTGATCAGCCTTTACCTTGTCTGTCCACATATGCTTCTTCTAGGTCACTAACAAATTTCTGCACTAGCCTTGTATTAATCTCTGGATACGTTGTGTTGGTCCTGCTTTATTGTTTGTTAATCAATTTTTAATCCACAACAGTTATTAAATTTTCTAATTTTAGTATATGTGCTGCCGAAGCAAGCACTACTAAATTTTCTTAATAACCTCATTTGAGAAACCTTATTTCTAAAAACAAAAAACAACTTTTAAGTTATATGTGTCAGTCTTTGTTTTTCTACTATTTGATTAACTCTTTCAAAGAACTCTGGTGGGTTAGAGACACGTGGTTTACAGTTCTAGAATCTTTGCTGTTTGTTCTTTATCAGATTACACTACAACTCAGGTTTACTCAACTGTGGTTAACCCAACCTTCCATTTAACTGAAGTTCTGTTGATATCTCCTGGAGTTGTGCTTTGCTGCACTTTAGCTTTGTTGGCGGATATTTATACCCTGGTGTCACAAATCTAAAGGCACTCTTCTCTACTGGTTTTGAGGAATTTTGAATAATTCTATGTGCCCTTCTACCTATGAATTATTCCAGCTGCCTGTTAGAATTGGTTGTCTCTAAAGATCAGCTCTTTGTAAAATTGGGGGTGCTGTGCACTGGAAAATGTAAAGGTATGAGAACAGTGATTTTAAAAAAATAATAACCTTGTGGTTTCTGGAATTCTCAGAGAGTTTCTGAAAATTAGACATTTCTTCACATTTTGCTTAATTCAGGATATGCACAATTTCATAAGAACCAAATTAACTGGATTTTCATTTATATTACACTTTTGATTTTCCTTAGACAAAGGGAGACATTCCTTGACAATATGCCCTCAATTTGTTTAATAATGACATAGACCATAGAATTGCCTCCAAAATAATCTCGCTTGTCTCATCTTCATCTGATGGCTGTATATTCAAGGGCATTGAAAGTCAGGTTTGATGAATTTTTGTCCAGATTCTTATCCCTCACTCTGTGCTTAGGTTTCTCTTTGCCAACAGTAATATCTGCTTTATAAGGTATATTCGAAGTTTCAAATTATAATGTTCTTCTAAAAGTATTAGAAGAAAGTCAAACTAGAAGATGAAATGTTGCCTTTGCTATATTGCCTTCTATTTCTCAAGTTCTCTATTTTCCATTTCAAAACTTCCCATCGTAGTCCTGACCAAATGATATTACTTTCCTTTCTGTTTTGCCTGAGAGTTGCTTCTTGACATTATCATACATCATCTCAAATCCTTGTGCAGGTTTGCCATTTTCTTTAAAGTATCTAATTCTTAGGTTTCCCCTACATTTGCCAAAACCTTTATCTCTTCCTCTTCTCTGATTTCCTTTTACCTTTTTTTCCTTTTGTTTCCCACTTAATTTGTATATTTGGGATAACATTCCTCTGCTATTCTGATCAGTGTTTCTCTTTCTAGCCATCAAAAATCCAGGTCCAGGAAATTTTCCAGATCTCCTAATTACTTGGCGGTGACTGATAAAGAGGATTAAATGATAGTGGTTACAATTTCTTACTATTTTTATTTTCATTTGAATATATTCTTTTTCTCCTGGTTTATACCATTGTAGGGGGAAAACGTGCTAGAGCTTATACATTGTCAAACTTCCAGTTTTTGAATGATAGTGGTTACAATTTCTTACTATTTTTATTTTCATTTGAATATATTCTTTTTCTCCTCGTTTATACCATTGTAGGGGGAAAACGTGCTAGAGCTTATACATTGTCAAACTTCCAGTTTTTTGGTTTGTTTACCTCTTATGAATGTTTGTTTGCCTCTTATCAATGTTTGTTTCTATTACTATTTCTAGTAACATTTTTGCTGTTACTTCTAAAAATGATTAGTCTTACTTTCTTTCTCAATCCTGTTCCTTATTTATAAATATTAGTTAGAGGGACATTTCAAAATTAATCTTCTTTCTTCTCAGAATAAAAGAGTAAGAGGATCTTAGTGTAGCACAAGAGAGGTCACCAATTCTTTAACTATCACACTCTTGCTGCTCGGCTGGTTGTCCTGGATATTTTTAGACTCCAGAATAAAGTTATGATCAAGATTAGAATGTATTGCCCTGAGGCTTCACACCTATAATGGGAGCAGTGGTAGTTTAGCATTTGGCCAGTAGCAATGAACACCTCCTGGACAAATTCCCCTTTGCACGATGTCTCTGCTTGCCTCTTAATTTTACCTATTAGTCAACACGTAGTTATCCCATCTTTGCATTTTTACTTTATTGGTAGTCAGGGCCTGCAACTTTATAATTAAAGTTTTGGTCAAAGCCAGAGAGACAATCCTATATAGCAAACTATAGTTGACAAAGTGACTAAACTGCAGCATAAGGGACTTGACTTTTAATTCTGACTCTGCCACTAAGTAGTTGTGTGATTTGGGACAAAATAGTTTTTGCCTTTTTATGCTTTAGATTCCGTGTCTTTGAAATTGAGGGATTGAAATATAATAGCTGCCAAATGTGTGCTATATACTTTACATGTATTAGCTCATTGAATTCTTATAATAACTTTGTGAGTAGATGTTCATTGCTTTTACTTTTTACATTTTATAGATAAGAATCTGAGGATTAACATGTTAATATCTGCCAAGGTATTAGCTAGTATTAGCCAGTAAGTGACATAGCTGAAACGTGAACTGTAGAGCCCATGCTTTCCAGCTCCAAAATTCTGTATATCTGAGAATGCCACCAATAGACAGAACACCAGTAGGCTTTGTATAAATAATTAATTTACTTCCAGAGTAGAAAGGAATGAAAGCAATGAGTACCATTTTCTGAGGTTGACCCAGAGTACACAATATCCTACTACCTTAATAAACTCTATATTTCTTCTATTTCTCTCATTTTGCATTTCACTTGCAAAGAATTCATA